TCGAACCCGCGCTCGCCCTCCGCCGCGGCGAACTGCGTGTGCACCTCCAGCGGCATCCGCGCCACTTCCGTCCACGCGCCGCAGCTGCTTGCTCCACCTCCGTGGCCGCCGCCGCCGCCGCGTAGTGTCCACAGGCGTCCACAGCGGAGATGTTCTTGACGGCGAAAGGGGACACGAGGTCATCCCCGGCCACGACAGCGATGATGGAGGTCGGGCCGGTGGTGAGGCCGACGGTGGTGGAGAGGCGCGGGGTCGGGGTGATGGGGAGTGCGGCGAGGAGGCGCGTGATTGGGTGTGCGAGCAGTAGCGTCTTGTGCCCCGATGCATCGGACAGGAACGCGAGCAGGCCGGCGGACGCGGCCACGGGCGGGAGCGGGAGCGGGAGTGGGAAGCGGAACCAGCTAGAGGGTTGAACCTGGCCAGCGTCGGCTACCTCCACGGCCTGCTGCTGGGGCGGTCAGCGAGGCCGGCACGGAGCTCGCGGCAGGTCAGGAGGTGGCCGTGGAGGTTGCGGCAGGCGCTGCGGGTCGTCCCGGCGGCTAGCAAGGGAGGGAGAAGCGGAGCACACCGTCGATGTGGCGGGGGAGGAGGTGGAGGACGCTAGCCACCATGCCGCGGCAGGATCTGGCGGCGGAGGAGGAGCCGAGGAGGACGCCGATGACCACCATGGTGACGCCGACGACCATCGGGAGAAGCGAGGAAGGCCGACGCCGACGACCACCATGCTTGCCGCTAGTGGGCGCCACCTCCACCGCCTCTGCCTCCGTCACCACCGCCTACCGGTTGCCGCTCCCCATCCGCCGGCCGCCGCTCGCTCGCCCGCCTGTCGCCACCGTCGCCCCGCGCCTCCGCTCCACGTAGGCGGCGGCCGCACGCTCGCACGCTTTTCCGGCCGCCGCTTAGCCCCGCTCACCGCCGCCCGTTCCTTCCCCGCGGCAAAGAGAAGTGAAAAAAAAAAAAGAAGAGCAAAAAGAATGGGAAAGAGAGAGTTGACGTGGCACGCTGACAGGTGGGGCCCACGTGAGTCCCACGCTGACTTAGCCGCCACGTAGACCAAAACTGGGGTTGGGGTCAAAACCACCAAAAGACCTCGGGTGACCGGTTTTGTATAGTTAAGGGACCCCATATATCTGGTTTTGCGGTTTGAGGATGTTTTCGTATCTCGTGACAAGTTCAGGGACCTCCGGTGCGCACTTTTTCCAAAGAATAAGATCGGACCCAAAAATCATGGCCCAATATCTTATGTAGTTGAGCTGGGCCTGGAGTTACCAGAGTAGGCTAAGGACCGACGCTTTTACAAAGCCTAGCCCAAGAAATACTCCTTCAGTCCAATAGTCCCTCACTCCATCGGCTCGGTTGTATAGTACTACCTACGTCCGATGATTTATGTCGCTTTAACTTTTTCTTTCAACGTTTAACTATTTATTTTATTTTAAAAATAGTGCAAATATAAAAAGGATAAGTCTTAAGCAAATCACAAATAAAATAAATAATAATTCCTAATTTTTTGAATAAGACGAATGATCAAACATTACAAACAACAACTCAAAGCAACAAGTAATAAGCAACTACTTATATCATATAGTTCTGCTCTGCACTCCATGATGGAATTATCACAATCATCACCCAATCAACCATACACGACAGGAGTACTCCCTCCGTAAAAAAAAAAAAAAAAAGACAACCTAGGTGATGATGATTTTACACCACCTAGGACAAAGAATTTGTGTGAGGTCAAATCCCCACCTAGGTTGCCTTTTTTATTGGGACGGAGGGAGTACTCTTACAGTACTCCCTCCGTCCTAAAATAAGTGTAGCCACGAGTTTCCGCGTCCAACTTTAATCGTCCGTCTTATTTAATTTTTTTTGGAAAACTAAAAAAATACAAGTCACACATAAAATACTACTCATGTTTTATATTTCAGTAACAATAAAAATACTAATCATAAAAAAATCAAATAAGACGGATGATCAAAGTTGGACACGGAAACTCATGGCTGCATTTATTTTAAGACGGAGGTAGTAAAAAAGAGATATTGCGTACTTCCTCAATCACATAAAAAACTAATGTATTAGATGTGACGCATTCTAATACTACTATGTAAAAAAAAAGAAAAGACAAACTCTAGTTATGTGTCCAGATTCATAGTTATGATTGGATATTTTTGGGTTGAAGGAGGTAGTATTACGATGTGTTATATCCGGTTATAAATTAGTCTTTTGTGGAATTGAGAGAGTATTTTAAGCTGGGCTGCTCTAGAAACTTTCGTGCTCTGGGACCAAAAATACACATGTAGAGGTGTCTCCATCAAGATTAAAATAAAGAGCTCGAGTTTAGCTGTAGCAAATCCATAGTACCGTATAGTATCATTCAATACGCTGGCCACCTAACTGCCAAACCAACGGTCGCCATTTATCCAGTTGCAAAGAACCTAAAACCAGATCCAGCTATGGAGAAGTGGAGCCAGACAGCAGAAAATATATATATATGCAAGTCCCTGTCCATCACAATTGGCACCCCAAGACCAAGTCCAACATAACTGCCCTATAACCGTGGAGTGCGATCCTTTGTGGCAGCGCCTATTATGTTCATTGTTGCTACCCTACCAAGCCAAAAAGATCATGATATCCTAATTAGATCGGATGCCGATCCTATATAAGCATATTTTTAAAATTAAGGTGGATTTAAAATAATATGAATAAGTCTACTCAAATTTACAATATGTCAATTGAATTTGTTGAATCAATATTATAGGCTTAATTGTTTCTACAATTTATTACATGAAATAAAATTTCAAGCGTTGCTATGGCCTATATATAGGAAAATTATATGTTAATAAGTAAAAAGGAGATACAAAATAAATATGTATTTGCTTTGTAAACATTCTTCTTACATAGATCCTTCAATGATGCAAGATTTATTTCAGACGTGTAACTTTATAAGAGAAGGGAGATTTATTTAACGATGAAATATGAACGATTTGCACCATTGGTAGATAATACAAAGGCTAGACAAAATTAAGGTGATATAGCTTTGTGATAGGTTATCCCAAATATTGTACTTGTGTGATTTAGATGAATAAGAGCAACACCGGTTTCGACCAACAGGATGTAGGGCTATTAACTGTCAGATAAGAGGATAAGGGGTCTGAACCTGTATAAAAATCCATGTCTCCATCTCTTTTACCTCAATCTCACATATACCATGTTACCAATGATACCCATATCATCCAAATACCGTAGTCGCGATCTTAAACATCGATAGAATTGTCAAAGCACCATCCACATTTGTAAAAAAAAAGGATATTGTGCTGTCATGTGGTGGTTTTTTTTTTATCTATGAATGCTAAGTATATAAGTAGTTAATGGGAAATAACTAAGATATCGATAATGGATGGGGTAAACAAGCATGGAAATAATCTAATATTTCCTTGTTTTAGAAGTGATATGGCTCAATGCATGTTGAGCTTTTGAGCTTTTGGTTTAAACTATATAGAAATATTAAGTGATGTTCAGCGCGTTGTTGCAAAATCTCCACTATTATAAAAATTGAAGATGTTTTTGTCGGTATTTTGGTACGTCATCCGTGTATGAGTCGGTTTTTAAGTTCGTTTGCTTTTGAAAATACATATCCGTATTTGAGTCGGTTTTCAAGATCGTTCACTTTTAATAATACATAACGAATCATATAAGAAATCTGTTTAAAAAAAACTTTCATGCTAACTTGAGACGATCGGACTCCTAACTGCAGCTCATGATTTTCTAATAATATATATATCCAAGCGAACTCCCAAAGTAAATTCCATCTTAACTAAACCATATAACAATAATAAGATTAAAATAAACTTCATCCGTTACAACGCACGGACATTTTTCTAGTACATAAATAAATAAATGTTAAATATTATAAAAATAAAGGTAGCTATATAAAAAATATTATGAAAATTGATATGTGGATGATGATTTGACGTGCTTGCATATTGAGTTTTAGAATGTAATAAAAAAATATAGATAATGTGATATGTTTGCATGGGTTTTAAGATATAACAATTTAGCGGGTATGGATGTGGCATTCGTTCATGTTGAACTTTAGCATGTACTCATATATAGAAAGTATATATATGATTGCAGATTTTATATAAAACTATGCATTTTGTAAAATATGATAGGGTCCAATTCTATAATTTGATTCTACGGGTTGACACTGTTAAGAAAAACAATCATCAAGTATTCCCATCCTGTTAACATTGATCAAGTTTGAGTTGCAGATGGTAGGATTCAAAGATGGTACGCATTGCTCTGCCTTAAAAAAAAAAAAGGAAAACAAATGGTATGGCTTATATATGGACGGTCTTATTTATTGGCTTATGCTTATAAGTTAATATTTGAATTTTAAAGCTTAAATTTGATTGTTTTTTATCGCTGTTTATTTTACAACATTTACTTATATATTATATATATAAGTTTTACTCATAAATAATCTTTTATTTGCTAACAAGCTATTGGGACTGCGTTTCACAGACAATCCAACCCGTCTCGCAAGATGCAAGCCGGGCGAGTGCGCATCAAACTGCCCACTTGGAGAGATACTACGCGACATCGCCTTCTCCGGCCGTCACAGTCACACTCAACACAGACACATCCGAGTCCCCTTTTCAACATAGCGTCGCCGTCCCACGAGACAACGAGAGGAGCGCGAGATGGGAGCCCCACCGGCCACAAGAGAGGAGATGAGAGAGGCCCAGAGCGGCCCACTTCCGTCCCATGCCTGCGCGTCCCGCGGGTCCCTATCGCCACCCCGCGAGCTCCAGCTGGTTCCGACCCAATTAACGTAGCGCCCGCCGGCCCCGTCTCGAGCCCAGGCCAGAGGCTCCCGACCCGGCAGGTCGCGCGCGCTGCTGCTACCTGGCTGGCGCCTCTCGTGCCACACCGCGTAGATACAGTTAACGCGGCCCACGTCCCTCTCCACGCGCTAAACTATATAGCCCCCGCCCGCCACCACCTTTCCCTCCAGAATTCAAACCGGATCAACCTCGCTCGCTTACTCGTGTTTAGGCATGGACGTTTCTGCTGCGCTCAGCAGCGACTACTCGTCGGGGACGCCGTCGCCGGTGGCGGCCGACGCCGACGACGGCTCCTCCGCCTACATGACGGTGTCGTCGGCGCCGCCCAAGCGGCGAGCGGGGCGGACCAAGTTCAAGGAGACGCGGCACCCCGTGTTCAAGGGCGTGCGCCGGAGGAACCCCGGGAGGTGGGTGTGCGAGGTGCGCGAGCCGCACGGCAAGCAGCGGATATGGCTCGGGACGTTCGAGACAGCAGAGATGGCGGCGCGCGCGCACGACGTCGCCGCGCTCGCGCTCCGCGGCCGCGCCGCCTGCCTCAACTTCGCCGACTCGCCGAGGCGCCTCCGCGTCCCGCCCATCGGCGCAAGCCACGACGACATACGGAGGGCGGCGGCTGAGGCGGCCGAGGCATTCCGGCCGCCACCAGATGAGAGCAATGCGGCCACCGAGGTGGCAGCCGCCGCATCGGGCGCCACTAATTCGAACGCCGAACAGTTCGCCTCCCACCCGTACTACGAGGTCATGGACGATGGGCTGGACTTGGGGATGCAGGGCTATCTCGACATGGCGCAAGGGATGCTCATTGACCCGCCTCCAATGGCCGGTGATCCTGCCGTAGGTAGCGGCGAAGACGACAACGATGGCGAGGTCCAGCTATGGAGCTACTGATCCTGCGCGTTTGAACTCAACTTGGTTTGGCGCGAAGAGATCGCATGTACAGCTTAAGGGAGTCGAGTACAAGTACCTCAGGTGTACTCCACTCGTTGCCCCTTTCCCTTCCCTTTCGTTTTTCTTGAGCTTATCTGCAGGGTAATGTTATGTATTGCTGCTCTTCTGATGAAATGTGATCGGAAGAAGCGGAAGGCCAGATCGAGCTTATGGGTTCTGAAGACGGTGAAGGCTTGTCGAGTGTTGTGAGCATATATTCAGAAAGTCAGGCACTGTGAAAGTATGAATCAGATCAGCCTTGTTACGAATGAGAGTGATCGACCTTGTTCAGTGTTTATAATTGAACCACTTGTGTGTAATAAGCAGCAAAGCCATGTTGCTTGCTTGATCTGACTCTTGGGAATGGTATATTTCTCAAAGAATGCAGGATTGACTACTCAGAATTTGACATTTTGCAGTGAAATGATAGGATTGTTAAATTAACATTGGAGGAGAGGCATGTGTATATATGTTAAGAAACATTAGTAATGATGAGCCTATGATACTTCGATCTGTAGTGGTTTATGACGAATTGGAATTCTACTCGGTTCACAAATTCGTGAGATCTTGCTCAAATTTTGAGCATCTCAAGCCGGTTCAAAATGAGATCCGGAGGTGCATTCTGAATAGTGTTCTCAAATTTTATTCGAACTTAGTGAAAAAAAACGTCTTACTGTGGCTCAAATTTCACCCGTCAATAGAGATTTGTTATAAACCCTGTCAATATTGAGGTGATACTTAACCAAAAAACAAAAAATAATTATTATCACCTCATAATTTGGATTACCCAAATAAATATAGTGCATGCACCCAATAAAATAAAAATCTTATGGAGGAAGGATTTAAATAATAGGAGCTGTTCAGATTGATGCCATTTTTAACCATACCATTGTTTTTTTTACAAAGTTGTCAAAAAAAATGTCCACATTTAGTTTGTTGATATTATCAAAATTTTGACAGGTTTTCATATGTATTTATCAAAGTTAGGCATAAAACTAAATGTATGCATATTTTTAGTAATTTTATAAAAAAAAAGTATGATTTGAAATAGCATTAATCTGAACAACCCTTTACAACCGGAGTGCACATTCTATCAGTGACAGTGAACGCCTCAATGTTTTTTTTTTCTTTTCTTTTTTTGCCAAACTGGTCACTTCTCTAAAAAAATGGACTTCTGAAATTTCTACATCACAAAACAGTTTTGCAATCCATGCCTAGGCATATAATACGACCCATAGTCTTTGTCTATCATTAAAGGCAATCTTATTTATACAGTACGAAGTACCTTCGAGCTAAAGCTGGCTTAAGAAAATCCTATGGAACATTCTTTTGACAGCGTCAATGAAGCTCTTTGTAAATTTTAGGCCTCAAGCTGGCAAGCCGCGGGAAAAGGCGGTCCCAGAGTGAGGTCTCAGGTCAGGTCACCTCGCGCGCGTTGCGTTGCTGGACAAGGCCACAACCCACAAGGCCACAAGCCACACAACTCTCACCAGACACCAGTCGCCACTCGCTACCAACGGCTTTCGCGGTTTTGCCAGCTCGCGCACTGGCTCTCTCGCGCGCGCATGCCTTTCCGCCTTTTTACCGGGTCCGTACTCCGTCGCCGTCGGCTGCCAAAGAATCAGAAGCATCCAGTCCTGTCGTCGTCAGCTCATCACGAGAGGATCTAGCTAGCTAGCAAGACTCGGTCCACGGGGAGGAGAAACATGATGCGTCGATGGTTCCAGCCGCCACGGAATTTAGTAGTAGTACTAGTAGGATTTGGTATGACAGTAATATATGGCAACATGTCATCGTGTTATAGCAGTGGTAATACTGTTAGTACGTGGCTTTACCTGATAGTAACGCGTATGTGTCCGTTACACTTTGTTGGCGTTTGATTCTCTTAAAGACGAAGATAAACATTTAAGTATTTCACATAAAACGGGGTGATAATAATGTGTAATTAATTGAGTTTTTATTCTTACAAACTTAAAAAAATAGATTAATCTGATATTTTAGAGCAACTTTTATAAAGAATGTTTTCGCACAAAATACACTATTTAACAGTTTGAAAAACGTGTCACGAGTATCCAAAATTGTATCATCTGTTTGTAGAAGAAACGGAGTCAGACAGCCCCATAACCAAAACTATTTTTTCCCCACAAAACTGTTTATATAATTTCAGTATTTCCAAAAAATAGTTTAAAGGCTTTGGATGATAGGGACGAGGGCGTTCTCTGTTGTCATGTGCATGTATAGGTCTATTTTGAGTCCGGGCAAACTTCAACATAACTATGATACAAAATTTTCATCAGTAATTTACTCATTAATATTAAATTTTAATGGAGACTAGCAAAAGTGCCCGTGCGTTGCAATAGGAAGAGTATAGATCAGAAAAGTATGCAATTAATTAAAATATAAATTTGCTGAAATATTTGGTATTTTTAAGTAAGTATGTGTATAATTAAATAAATTTACAAGTAAAGCAAGTGTGAGAAATAAAATATAAGGGTTAAATTTAATTTTTTAAAATTCTCCATGATTAGTTACGCTCTTTGGAATTTTATTGGAATTTTCAGAGCTTAATTGCTAATTTTAATAATACAAAAATCATTTAATAATTATTTAATTAGAAAAAGAAAGAAAATCCTTCCTTTTAAGTTTGGTTAGAAATAAACACATTCAATCACTATAATTGTAAATGCTTCTGAAAAAATGAAGTACTAAAAATGAACTTCTTTTCTTTTACTTCGGCCCGAGGGACCAAAAATAGACTTATTTCCAGCCCTTGTCGGTCGGCCCACGGCCTTTTGGGTCGCGCGGGAGCACTTCCCCTCCCCAGGCCGCAACCTGGGCTTGGGCCTGAAAAGTGGCCTCGCTCTCGATCCCTCTTGGGCCTATTTCAGCCCGGACGACGCCAGCCGTCTGATCTCTAGGGTTTTGATCAGACGGCCGAGCGTCGAGATCGGGGAAACAAAACCCCATCTCTTTCCTCTGCCGCCGAAACCCTAGCCCATTTCCTTCCCTCCCTTCTCTCTCTTCGCCGCCCTCCCCTCCGCGCCCCCGATGCTCTCTCCCTCTCTCGACCTTACCCGAGCGGCGGTGGCGGCGCCCTTCCCCCCGAACGGCGGCCTTCCTCCCGCGAGCGACGCCCTTCCCCCCGAGCGGCGGCCTTCCTCCCCCGGCCGGCGGCGGCGGCACCCACCCTGACCACCGGCGGTGGATCTAGCGGGAGGGGAGGCAGCGGTGGCGCTCTCTCCCACCACTGACGGTGGATCTAGAAGGAGGGGAGCCGCCGGCGGCCAACCGTCCTTGCGGCGGCGACGGTGGGGTGCGGCGGAGACGGCGGACCGCTCCCGACAATGGCATCGGCGGCATTCGCGCTCCCTCGGCGACGGCCGTCCCTACGGCAGCGTCGACTGCGACGACGGCATGTGCGGCGTACGCGGGTAGATCCGTCAGCGGTGGCGGCAACCGCGGGCGGATCCGGCGGCGGTGGTGGCCTCTTCTCCCTCTGGCGCAGTGGTCGCGGGTGGATCTGACGGTGGTGGCGTCTACTGAGGGTGGATCCAGGAACGGCGGCTTCCTTCGCCGTCTGTCTTCTCCGTCCGGCGCGGTTGTGGCGGCCGAGGGCGGATCCGGCAGCATGGGAGTGAACTTCTGTTATGTATGTTGTGATTGTTGTTGTTCTTGGATGATTTCGTTATTGTTGTTGTTCTTGGATGTGGTGTATGTTGTTGTTGTTCTTCTTGGATGATTGTGGTTGATTTTGGAGGCAAATAGTGATTGATTTTTTGGGGGGCGACGGACAAAATCGGACTGAAAAAGGCAGGGTGGTTGATTTTTTTTTTGGGGGCGATGGACGAAATCGGACTGAAAAAAAATCACACGGATGGACCAATCGGACTGTGATGACCGGAAAAATACCAATATTTATATTAGTTATAGATAGATATAGATTTCTCCAGCGAGCCCGAGCACTAGCCGGGCAGTGGATCCGCTATTGGGTCTACTATCCAATTGCTCACCATAGTTGATATTTTATAACTCGAGGGCACTCACACTAATATGTCCTTAAATATTAAGCAGATAATTTTAAAAAAAACCAAAATCAATGAATCTGATATAATAGGCATATATCATCTTGCAAAATTTCAATTCCAAAGTCGATTAAAAAATAAGAAGAAAAAAAATTAAATTCAGTTATGAATGACAATACAAAACTATTTGTAGCTAAATTCGCGCCGCGAGGGGGGGAGGGGGGCAAGACGTGTACATTTAATTAAATTTGTTGTTGTATATTTGTGGTGAGACATACAAGACATAACATTTTAATCAATGAACCCCCTTCGACTTTTCATTCTGAAATTATTTGTCCAATGAGAATAAGCTCCTTTTTTTTAACTTTTTTAGACCAGCTTTTAACGTGTTCGACTATCTCACTATGTCTTACCAGATATTGCACTTGCACATGATGCACACTGCCTTATCATAGGCATGCGTCGGGTCCTCCAACATTTCAAAGGTGCTCAACAATAATTTTTCTCAATATATGTTGCAATTTTTGTTTCTTCGATGTTCTACATATTGGTTGTTGGTGGCGCAATCAATTTTGTTGAATGTTGCATCTTTTTAAACATTTTTCTCCAAGTTATGAAACATTATTTTTCAAGCAACAAAACATTGCCCTATTTTTTTTCTTCAAATCGGATGGATGCCCAATTTATTATTTCGTCCTAGATTAGGTGGCATACATTGAATTTTCTACAATGGAGAAGACATTTTGGTTACTTGTTGACACTTGGGCTTGGGTTCGATAGTGAGTTGGAGTGGATTTTTTCACGGCACACAGAAACGAGATAAGTCATTAGAACATGATTAATTAAACGTTAATTATTACAAACTTAAAAAATGGTTTATTTGATTTTTAAATAAACTTTTATATAAAAAGTTTTTGAAAAAATACACTATTTAGTAATTTAGAAAACGTGCTAACGGAAAACAATAGAGTTGTCACCCCTAAACTCACTGCCGAACAGGGCCTTAGCAGTTAGCACTATGGTGCATTCTATTAGGGTGAAAAATTGGATAAAAATTTGTCCAGCTGTAGATAATGAGAACTGCCTCAAAAGTGTAGCAGATTTAAAATCTACTAATGTCGGATGGCCCAACACCTACTCTGATTTTCAAGAAAAAAAATTAATCCTCTCTAGGATTTACCACTTTTATAATATCTGTATGAATGAGTCGTTCAAAAAAATAAAATCTGTATGAATAAGAGGCATTCCCTTGGCCAATACTACAATAGTACAGTCTGTTCTTTTCCGTGCAAGTTTCGTCCTGCAACATTCATGCGTTTCACCACGCATTAAGATCTATACAACCAACTGAAACAGGCAAGATCAGCTTGGTTCAGTGATGGAGATGGTGGCGTTCAAGTAAGCGATGCACTCGGTCGGCAGGCTGAGGAAGGTGTTCATGAAGACGTCATCAATGGGGTCGACGACGGCCACCCCTACCAGCTTGCATCTCCCTTCGCCGTCCATCCTTTCTCCAGTTCCTCGTCTTATGGCTCCACTGGACTCCTCGGAGGTCAGCGTTGTGTCGACGAACAGCGGCGGTGCTCGGTAGATGCTTCCAACCGAGAAGCAGAACCTCGACCTGAACTTCAGATCAACCTGAAACGAGCACGATCATTCATGATCGTGATTATTCTTACAGCAATGTCTCTGCTCTGTTTTTCTCCAGAGATTGTTCAGATGTTCTGCCTGACTGCTTGCCTGAAGAAATCTAGAGCACACATGCGCATAACTGTGACGAGACAACCACATGGATATTACCTGACCACTTGTTGGATCGATGTTTCCGCGGAGAGCCTCGGGCAAGATGTCGATCTTGAGGAACGGCGGCAGCGGCAGCCCGAGGAACTTGGTCGTCGCGCCGGACATCGCCGGGATGTACAGGCTTGACACGTCGAACTCGACCAGAACCGTGCCACTATCCTCGCCGCTGCTGGCGACGACGCCGACGCCGCGGCCGCCCTGGGCGTTGTACGCGAAGTCCGGGTACCTGGAGATGCCCAGCCGGCACCCGTCCCGCGTCCGGAACTCGACGCTAAACGTGCCTGCCTGAGCCTCCTGCGGCGCCGCGATGGCAGGGCTGGATCGTTGTTCGCCTTGCCCGGTGCACGCCACCGAGACGGCAGCGTTCTTCTTGCACGGGCGATGCAGGTGTCTCGGTGGCGCTCCGAAAGCACACGGTTTCTTGGGAATTGAGGGTTTTTGCTGGGCCCGAAGGTTCGACGAGGTGGTGCTGATACTGCCGGGCGGAGTCATTTGGAGGCACGCCGGCAGCACGGCCACGGCGGCGATGGAGAGGATCAGCAGCCGGCGCCGGCTGCCGGTTTGAAGGAGGCTGTGATTTGTGTGGCTGTGCCGGTGTGCGATGGGCCACGACCCACGATAGACTTATCCATTTCATTTTTTGGTTTCCATTTTTTTTCTCTTTTTCTGGATATGCCCTGAATTCATCATTTGGTTGATGAAATTTTTTCATGAATCGGAGTGTCAGAAGCTTGAGTGTTAGATCTGTCTTTGCTGCATGCTCAAACATTTTGTGCCGACTAAGAGCCGGGGAATAACAAATTTAAGTTGACCTATAACACGTATTTCTTTTTGTTTGATGCGAAACCCGTATGGTCAAAGTAGAGAAGTATATCTATTGACTCGAACTGGAGTACACTCGTCATGCTTAGCACAGAGCTGAAATTCCAAGACTTGGTTTGTTTTGGATTTGGCTAAGGTCAAACATGAGCGATTCAACAGTCCAAGCCAATGATGCTTAGCTGGTCTTTTCGGCCGTCCAACGCTGCAAGTCTTCAAAGCCATACACACTTGCATACACAAGTTGAAGACTTGGAACTCTTGAATTGGCTGCTCTATACTACTGGGCGAAATTAGCTGGGCCGGTTTTGAGCATCCCACATAGTTTAGGCCTGGTTTTATGCTTGGGACTATTTAAGGTGGAAATGCAGCTGGTAGAAATGCAGTTTGTGTGAGTTTGAAGAAGCTAGAAAAACCAGTGACTGGCTTCTAATCTATTTTCTACTATTCTATAGTTATTACAAGTTTCTCATAATCTGGATGGGACACTTTTTTTTTTTTTTTGAGAATTGGACGGGACACTCTTCCAAACATACCCTTAAGGTTGTTGCTGCCTGCTGACGTGAACCGAACAAGGTAAGTTTTTTCTTGAGGCCCATCAAGTGAAATGTCTCCTTCTCAAATAGACCATTCTGAAAGTTCAGCCCAAAGGACTGCAATACGCTGTGAATAAGTTCATTTTGGTCCCTTAACTTGATAGCAAGTTCGATTTAAATCCCTGAACCGCAGTACCAGATACATTGGGTCCCTCAATGTCAAAACCAGTGCAAATAAAATCCCAAGATGGTTTGGATGACGGTCTCGGTTGACATGGCACCTAGGTGGCTAGTTTGACTTAGTCCTTGTCTTACATGACGGTAATGTGACACTGGAAGAAAAATATAAAAATTTAAAATCAAAACAAAATGTGGGGCCCACATGCCAATCAGACAAAAGATAAAAACTAGTGGGACCTTGTCAATGAGTCCCACCCTCTATCTCCGCGGACAATGGCGCGTCGTTGCCTCCTTCTCCTTCTTCCCTCCTCTCTTCTCGAGTTCTCTTGCCGGCTAGCTACTGCCGTCAACGACCATAGCAACGAGAGACATTATTGTCGGCATCCCAACGACGAGATCCATTTGAGGTAGTGCTCCCGAGGGCCAGCCACCGCTCCAACCGCCACCGCCACTGCCACCGCCACCAATGCATGAGGGAGAGAGGAAGATGGCTGCGACGACAAGGAGGAAGGCTGCGACGACGAGGGATTCGTGCTCCGAGGCCCAGCTGTGGCGGATCCGCTCTCCTTACCATCACTGTCACCTTCCCTAGACACAACCGCCATCGTTGAGCCGCCGCCACCGTCACCTTCCTGAGCTGCACCCGCCGTCGCTAAGATGGATTTGTAGTGGGAGAAGGCGGGGAGGGGGGGGAGAGAAGGGCAGCGGGGCACGGTTGTGGATGGATGGATTTGTGCCGATAGGAGGTGGAGATGTGGGCGGTGGAGGCGGCTTTCGGATGGTCAGGGTCGTGAAGGGTGGAGGATGACGAGCAGGAGGGATGCGTGAAGAGGGGCTTCTTGGCCGACTCCGGCGATTTCTTCCGCTGCATCAACACCCGTTTCGCTGGCACTGCATCCACTGCACTTCACACCTTCTCCTCCGATGTCTCTTCTCCATCCCACCAGTGTTGACTCTTGCGGCTGACATGCGAGGCTCACATGGGTCCCCCCTGTCTCAGCCGGTTGACAAGTGGGTCCCACATGGACCCCATCTTTTTTAAAATTATTTTTTTATGTAATTGATATGTGGGCCCCACATGTTTTACTTTTTCCTGGATCAAAGTGCGACGTAAGCGCCACGTCAATCCCACATAAGACGAAGACCTAGTAAAAAAGGCCACGTAGGCACCACGTCAGCTAAAGCCCAGGGATAATACTCCTGAGGGACCTCATTTACACTGGTTTGTAAGTTAGGGACCTGTTGTATCTGATTTTTTGGTTGAAGGACGAAATTCGGATTCGTTGTCAAGTTAAGGGGCCTCAAATGAACTTATTCCCGTCAGAAGCCACATATATAGGCCGCGTCCTCACGCGGTACGGGCCATGTAGAACTAGAACCCATCTCAGCTCACCCGCAGTCGCGCGACCCTGGGAAAAAAGGGCCACCCATCAGTGCCTTCTCCTCTCCTCTCTCTTCTCTTCTCTCTCTCCGATCCGGATCTTCCTACCCACTCCGGCGAGCCCTCGCCGCGTCGCCTCCACGCGACTCGCTCCCGTATATCGGCGCTTCCCTTAGCCGCTGCCGCCGCCCGCCTATACCACCAGCTATATCCGATTGCCTCCTCCCCCTTTCGCGCCTCTGTCCCGCGCCCCACCAAACCCTAGGCGCGCCGCCCATGGACATAGAGACCGACGGTCGCTTCGGCAACAAGCGCGTGCACCACCGCCTCGGCCCGGCCAACGGCGCCGCCTCCTCGTCCACCTCCGGGAAGGTCTGCATCCACTGGCGCGCCGGCCGATGCAATCGCTTCCCCTGCCCTTACCTCCACAGCGAGCTCCCCGAGGCGACAGCCAAGCGCCCGAGCCAAAGCGGCGGCGGCGGGAACGTCTGGAGGAATCCCCACTCAGGAGGTGGAGGGGGCCGCGGCGCCGGCGGCGCCGGGGGCCCGAACAAATGGGGGAGGGGCCCCGGAGGTGCGGATGGTGGCCCGAGGCACAAGGTGCCCGATCGGCCCTGCAGGTACTTCCTCGCCGGCGACTGCAGCTACGGGGAGAAGTGCCGATACCCTCACTCCTACTCCATGAGCGATAGCATCACGATGCTTACTCCGCTCCAGGGCCACGAGAAGGTGCTCGCTTCCCAGATCAATGCGCTCGTCTGGTAAAAAAAGAAAAAAAACCTAGCATTCTAACTCCAATTGTTGTGTATTCCATCAGGTTGTGACAGGGATTGCACTGCCGGCTGGGTCAGACAAGCTGTATTCTGGGAGTAAGGACGGAACTGTGCGCATGTGGGATTGCCAAACTGGGCAGGTAGCTGAGGCATCATTGAAATGTACCCTTCAGAGGCTCTTCTGTTCTGTGTGACATTACTTTATACTATCTGCTATATGGTCCTGTGTTAGTGTGCTGGTGTCATCAATATGGGACGTGAGATCGGGTGCATGATCAGTGAGGGGCCATGGTTATTTGTTGGGATTCCAGATGCTGTGAAGGTAGGGCGATTAGACCTGAGATTTGTGACTTTGCTTCAGCACTATTGGTGTAATGGTGTTCATGTGTGTGTCTATCTGCCTGATCTATTGGTACTTGGTATAGGTTTGGAATATGCAAACACAAGCGGAAATGAACCTTACTGGGCCAACGGGGCAAGTCTATGCACTCGCTGTTGGAAATGAGCTACTCTTTGCCGCAACACAAGTAAACTTCACATTCATTTTGCTTACGTTTGGTCCTAACATTTTTATTGTCGAATCATTCACTCGTGATGCCCTTGGTGCAGGATGGACGGATTTTGGCCTGGAGATTCAGCGCTGCAACAAATGGTTTTGAACCAGCTGCCTCTCTTGTTGGGCACCAGCTTGCTGTCGTTTCATTAGTAGTAGGAGCCATGAGGCTTTACTCTGCTTCAATGGACAAAACAATTAGAGTAAGGAGAACTTTTGACTCTTGGTTCACACCTATTCATGTTTACTCTTAAACAGATACACTTGCTGTTGGAAGCTCTGTTGCATATATAAACTTCCCCACTTAATTGCATCCATCTGTTATGTTTCCAATTGTTGAAGTTCACAGTGTATAATTTTGCATTATCAATAGATCTTTTATACTGTGCATATACACTTCTAGCTTTCTCTAATAAATTTAAATAGTACATATTGCTAATTGATTTATCTTCGGGCAACAAGCATACATAAGTAAGTTGTTTCTTATATATTTTCTCAGAATAAATGCAATCAAAGCTGAGGTACAAATCTGCACCTGGTTTAGGCTACTACAGGCGCTGCAAGCTTGCATCATAATTTACTTAGGACATGCACTTGCATTATTCTACTGTTGGTTGACGTGCACATTTTGTTGTGATATGTCAACTGGCACGAAGAACATTTGCAACTAGTATTTTGGAAATTACTCATCAGCAGCACTATAAATCACCAGTACCAAGAATTGCTCCTGTTATAAACTTATAATACATACAAATGGTCCCTCGTGGCATGGTCCCAATATTATTGAAAATCTCTATGTTATATTTGAATACTGGAATGTTATTTTCATGGTGCGATGATTGTAAGTTTTCCTAGTAATTTTGGTCCCTTCAATCTTAACATAGCTTGAGTTACCTATTCTGTTTTGATGTACATGTATTGTCGTATGGATTCATTTTTAAGGGATATTATCTACTTATTTCCACTTTCCGGGAGGTATTTTTGAGGTATAGGTTTTCTTAGTGTTAATCATGGGGTATATACTCAATCCTGGTTACAAGTATGGTGAAAATACTCGTTTTGTTTATCATCATATATTTTTCTGCATATATGTTTTCTTTCCATTCGATTGCACATACGTCGTTCCATAAGATGAGAATGATGTTCTATTCACTTTACAAATAGTAATGACAGAAGGCATAATATTTCAGGTGTGGGATTTGGCAACACTGCAGTGCATACAGACTCTTTCTGATCATACAGGTGTTGTTATGTCTGTATTGTGTTGGGATCAATTCCTATTATCATGTTCCTTGGATCAAACAATAAAAGTTAGTCTCTGTCCTTGACTTTATGTTGTTTAATAATTTTGCAGATATGTCTTCACATTCCATATCTTACCCTTTTCATTGCATTTCACACTCGTTCATTTTGTTCCTGTTCTTCTAACATCATATCTGTAATCACGTTTTATCCTTTCAGTGCATTCATACTTCTACGCTGTGTTTCTCTTCAGGTTTGGGCAGCTACAGAAAGTGGAAGCTTGGAAGTAACATATACACACAAAGAGGAGCATGTATGTGACTCGATACTCAATACTCTTAATAAGCGATTGCACAGGGGTTATGTTCTGTTACACCCTGATGTACTAAATCCTTATTATATTTAATTTGTTCATTTTCACAAAAACATGTTACCCTTTCTGGCGAACTTCTAGACAGTACCATTTTATGGTTTTATGTAATGGGTGTCATCTCCCGCCCTGTTTATTATGGAATATAAATAATACTGATCAGTGATCCTGTTTATACTCCTTTGAACTTACCGTTAGGATTTCCTTTACACTTCCCCATGCTAAATGTTTTACATACAGATTAGCAATTTGTCTACTATTAAGACAGCTATTACTCCCTCCATCTCAAAATATAACTATTAGAGCTGGACCATTGAGCGAATTGGATCAGTTCACTGGTTTTGCCAGCACTTCAACAACAATTAAACTGGCAATTTAATCATTTCAACATTTAGATGTTTATTTGCATGCTTTATCTAGCTTCTATACAAGTTAGTGCCCTTATTACACAAGAGCCGCAAGCTACCAAAGTTAATGAAGGCACTAGGCACTAGTTGGGCCACTGAGGTGCAATGAGCACCTAGCCTGCATGTCATGGTATGACTGGTGGCAGAGCCAGAAGCGTAAAAAAATATTTATTGGAGGGGGCTGATAATACTAGTTATGATATTTCATAAAAGCAAAAATAATTAGTGTGAATTATTAGAAATTGAGGGAGGCCGAATCCCTGCTTGCCCTTTCCTGTCTCTGCCCCCTGCGTATGACATCAGAACTTGATTTGTGAGTTTTCTAATGGCTTTGCCTGCCACCCTTTCCTGCTACAGAGCCAATATTTCTGTAGTGATTCACATAGCCAATATTCATGTAGTGATTTGCAGGATACTTCATGTAACTGCCTAAAATATAAATGTGTTTACAAGCATCATCTATTAGTAAAAATACATGTTCCTTATTATTTGTAACACAAGTAAGTCTGGCGATGTATGCCAGATTGAATGCTTTAAATGGAAGTTAATAAATCCAATGAAATCTGTACACAGGTAAAATGACATGTTATACGAGTCATGTACTATAACTACACTAATACCACATTGGTGTGCTGGCATTTTGAATTTTGAATAATCACTTCTGTTCCGTCAGTACTAGTTCCATAAGAGTGTGTCCTTTCATGGTCACACACTTTTGCCTTTGAGAAACCAATCCTTTCCATTATTAATATAGTATGGCATCTGCCTTGCACAAAATTTGGAAACACGCATGCCCTTTACTTCTGTCAAATTTCTTCATTTCAATTTCCAATGCTCTGATGGCTTTGTTTTATCTGTAGGGAGCACTTGCCCTAAGTGGCATGCCTGATGCACAATCAAAACCTGTGCTACTATGTTCACTAAATGACAACACTGTCCGACTATATGACCTGCCATCGTAAGAAAGTTGTCTTGCTAAGATTATTTTGTTTTACTTCTGATGTTTATCTGAAGTGGCTCCTTTTGGGTTTGTAGGTTCAGTGATAGGGGCAGGATATTCTCAAAACAGGAAATAAGGGCAATACAAGTTGGTCCTAGTGGTTTATTTTTTACTGGGGATGGAACTGGTGAGCTGAAGGTGTGGCAATGGGTTATTGATGGATCCCAGACCAAATGAATATAGTGTACTCTAGATTAGTTTCCCCCCTTTATTTGGTGAGGGATAAAGAACACATGCATAATGATTTGAGATGTGGTTGGCGGCCAGTTCTGTCCTTGCATGTCCTAAATTTATTCTCCGAGGGTATGAGATTCAATTGGATCGCCTTGCAGTTAGATTACAAGCTAAGTCTCACCATGGACGAGAGTTTCTGTCCTGGAATGAGTTTCACGTGAGGGCAATAATTTCTTGTAATATGTAAAGCACTGGAAGTCTGGAACCAACAAGTACATCTGATCACTGTTACGATGTGCTGGTAGTTCAGAGGATGTATCAATATAAAGGTTTTGCTCGGCTGCATTTGTATTAAGGAACTCAAATTTTCACAGCAATACAATTGTTTGTTGTTCTCTCTCGGAGCACGGCATTGTTTTCCTCGAGGGCTTTTGGGGAACATATAGAATTTTTCACTATGTGGTATTTTGATGACTAGGATGTACCTGATCTATAGTTCTTTTGAAGGAATTTAGCACGGCAGATGGCAGCAAGAATAGCAACAGAGTTTTGGATGATGGACAGTTTTCACAGCAAGAATGCAAAATTTGAACTAAATTGTATGCCTTTTGAAAGCAATCTGCACAGGCTTTAACTGTAAGGTCCATAGTTGAGCTTCATCTTCCTGATAGGCGAACACTGTTTGTTGAGCCATTGAGATTTACTAGATGAATATGCGCGGCTTGCCGCGCCCGTCAATGTGTACATAGTATTAATTAAAAGTAACTTAATGAGATACAGTAGCATAAAATCAAGTACGTGACACGGTTAGTATCACAAACAGGGGGAGTATACATTTTTTTAAAACAATAGTAAGAATAATTGGTTGTTTGTTACAAAGACAACAGTTAGTTAAATTCGTGAATGATAATGCATTCAGTACTGCGATGAGTGAAATAAAGTAGATTCATGTGATAAAAGTAAAAAAAAAAAACTATCTACAATAACCTTCCCAATGTACATACTTTACATATTAGATTGCAAGGCATATTACAAAAAGTGCTTACAGAAAGGGGAAGAATGCCCACTTCAATCTGCTTACAGAAAGGGGAAGGATGCACACTCCAATCTGTTTCAACAAACTAATGGTACAACAATATGGCGAGTAGCTGATTCTCTGGAAAAAAACTGCCATAGCCTCCAAGATGTTGCTCTAAGGGGAAAATCCCCAAAAAATGCTATTTACATTGTATTCCTGCGCCTCTCCATCTGCTATGTGTTAAATTAACACAGGTTAAACTGTTGTCCGTCCAATTGATCTCCCAGTGCCATCAGCACACATGACACTGGTCTATTTTGCATGTGTGCAGCAAGGATGAGTACGCTTCTTACAAAACATTAAACGATCAATACATGGTAAAAATCCAAAAAACAAAATAAGAAAAAAAACTGCATTGTCAGATGCAGAAGCCTGCCACAAGTTAGTCAAAAGAACAGTATTACTGAAATTGTGTGCACAGTTGTTGAACATGTGAAAGATAGGCAGTACCTCAGCGCGTCTCAATAAAGTTGCTAGCACAACAATCCATTCCTTAAATTTGACAGAACACATGTGAGCAACAAGGAACTCAACATCAAGCCGACTTTGAAGAGTATCCATTTGAAGCTGTCATCAGAATATCAATTATAAATGAGAACAGAGATCCAAGGCAGATAATAATATCAGCGAGATTGTGCTAGTATATTGATTGATCAGGTATTGAGTGATTTACTCAAGTAAGCACCATTCTATTTGTTAAACAAACATCCATAATTACTAAGCTTGCCCAGATTCGTAATCTTATATTATGAGCAGTCAATTCAGAACATTATCAAGCTTTGTAAAAGTACAAACTGCAGGAGAAAACTGTAGAAAACTCGAGAAAAATAATCCAAGACCGCAAAGTAGGTGGGAGCTTCTTTGTGCGCTTGTAGTAGCGGACGAGGCGGTGGATCCTGCTCTCAACAAGAATAAGCCTGAAACTTGAGTCCTTGTCCTTCCTGTTCCTCTCCAAATGCTTCCTAATAGCAACAGCCTTCTTGATCAGGAAGTACAGGTCTTCCAGGATCTTCGGTGCAAGACCTACCCATCAATCAAACAACATAAACCAGCACACGAACGCATGAAGCAATCAATAGAAGTGGGAGTGTCATAGGGTGGGGAGATCTCACCGTGGGCCTTGAGGATGTGAAGAATCTTGCTACTGGCGATGCTCTTGACGAGGGGGATTCCGTGCTGGTGACGGAGCACAACGCCAATCTGCGACGACATCTGACCCATCTTCGCGGCCTTCATGATCATCTCCTCCACCTACAATACGAACCAACCCAACGGTGTCAGAATCCGAAAATCCCCCAAATCGAATCGGAAGCGAGAGAGAGGGAGGAGAAGGCACCCACATTGGAGGCGGCGTTCTTGAGCAAGCTCGGGGGAATCCTCTTGCACGGCAGCGCCGACGACGAGATACCCTTCCTGCACACCACACCACAGCGCAGCCGCCGCCATTAGACCAGAGAGGAGAAACCAGCAATACGTTAGATTTTTTGTAGCAAATCATTTAATACAATAAAGCTAATGTTTAGGACAGGGCATCAAAATAAAATTATAACACATAGTTATCAGTTTATCAGTAGTTAAACTCAGTCATTTATCAAAATTGTAATAAAGTATTTCATAAGTTAACCTATTGTTCAGTAAATCATATAGGGTAATAATCAGGACATAAAGACAGTAGAAATAAATCACTGAAGGAAATCGATCAGTCACTATCTATTTGTATTCAAGATTATATTTCAAGGGTTACAATTCCATTATCAATGGCGCAGGTTTTTGCCATGATTATCAAAGTATAAAACCATATAATTGTTGTATTATTCAATAAATCTTATTTTTAAATCCGATTTTATTACTGTGTCACTAATTTCAGAAATTAGATAATATCAACATTCAAACATATATATATGGTTCTGATCATTCTAGTGTGCTACTGATTCCAGTATTTCAGTTACTTTTATATGCTAGCATATACAAGGACTTAATCATGTTAGTGCAACTTTTTTTTATTATCCTTTCTAATTTCAGTACTGCACTTGCATCAGAATTATGAGCATTCATTTATCCATTCATAGCATATAGGCATCAACTAAATAAAATCACTACAACCAACAGAGACCATGAGCACAGGACATCACCAAGTTGAGTATTAGCGCTAGTCCATAATTATCCCCAATGCATCACAGTTCACAGCACAACATCATACAAGAGAGAACACCACACAAAACATCATCATAAGAATGATATAGGGAAGGAAGAGTTTACTCATCAATGGGGATAGGATGTAGCCGCAGGAGTTCTGTGGTGGTTGGCACCAGTCATCTCCACGGGCAGCAGCGGCAATTGGAGAGGCGGGGCAACGGCTAGGATGAGAGAGAGGGAGGATCAGGGGAAGAGAGAAAGGAAGAGAAGAAGAGAGGGAGAAGCAGGGGAATAGAGGAAGGAAGGGGATAGGAAGAAGCGGAACCAGGGACAGGCAGCACCGGCCATCTCGGCTGCGGCTGCGGCGGCATGGCAGGGAGTCGAGCATCCAGGAACAATTGGCCAAGGGAATCAGAGAGTAGGAAGTAGAAGAGAAGATTAGGGGTCGCACCCGTAGTGGAGGCCTGGAAACCTTCCTAGAGACCATACCTCGCCGTAGTTTGGCCGGCGGCGGCACCTCGTGTTGAGGAAATCGTGCGTTACCACGGGCTCTTGGCAGTAGCGGCTGCCGGAGGGCGACCGGAGTTGGAATCCAGTAGCCGGCGTGAGGAAGCGCGGTGGCGTTGGCGCCACACCGGCCACGATGCCGCCGGAGAAGGAGGCGGCGTTGACGCGGCCGCCGTGCCGTGCTCCATGCCGGGGAGGCGACGGTGACATCACCACCACTGCACCCCACTCCTTGCCTTCCCTCGCCATCCTTACTTCGCGTGGCCGGCCTCTCCCCGCTAGCTCTGACGGGCGGCAGTGGCGCGGTGCCCGTGTGCGGCCGGATGCGCAGCCGCCACAAGCCCCATTGCCGGCGGGTGGGGTGGGGGGAGAACAAGTGGGGAGGGAGGTGTTGCGGGGAAGGCGGATGATGGTGCCGCACCCGTCGGCCTCCGCCGCTTCGTCGTCCGAAGCTATCGCGGCCATCCTACTCCGTCGTGCCGTCTCCTCCGGCCGCCAGATCCGGCGGCAGCGGAGCTGGATCCAGCCGCGGGAGGGCCGGATCTGACTACGGCGGCACCGGAGACGAGGCCACGAGCCGCGCCGTCGCACGGCCTGCAAGGAGAGGCAACGGATAGCGAGGGGAGGACGGACGACGTCGGCGGCGGCGGGTGGAGGGCGGACGACGACGGAGGTGACTGGGGGAGGGCGGATGGAGGCGGGGGGAGTCCCGCGCCGGCGCCGGCGCCGAGCACGGGGCGCGGGGCGTGGGTGGGGCGGCGGCCGCGCGGTGGGGGAGTGGGGAACAGCCCGTGGTTAGGGTCTGGGGTATATGTGGTCGTTTTTCGGATAAACCCCTTCGTTTTTTATTTTTACAGAGCTACCCCTAAAACGGAATTTTCTCTTCTTCACATTGTATATTTGTGAAAAACGAGGGTTTTTTCGCAACAAACACAACGGGGTGTGACCAGTCCAAGGATGTATACGATATTTCGTGGAAATACAAGGACTTTTTTGCAAAATATCCTTTTAATCAAACCAGCTCCAACCCGCCGTAAAGACCGGCGCGTGCGCACGTCCCCACAGCGCCCAAAAAAAAACTTTGGACTGGAGCGGTCACGAAGGCGCGCGCGAGGAGCCGGGATGAGGAGGAGCGACGTGTAAATCATCGGATAGCCAAAAAAATTTCAAAAATCGGAGAAAAATAGTACGGTTAGAGGAGTTATTGATTGATGATTCCAGTGATACACCTATCCACAGGGAAATATAGGGAAGGAAGATGACAATAAGAAGGAATGATAGAGGAAAGGGGAAAGGATTCTGATCAGAATCACTTTTAGAACCCACTAATATGGTTTTGTACCTATCCACAGGGATGGCAATAAGAAGGATCAGAATCACTTAAGAGTCCACCAATAAATCCAAAATTTCAAACCCTAATTACAAAATAACAATAAACTGAACTCACAGCAGTTGCTGGGCGTGGGCTGTTGTAGGCATCTGTTAGACTGTTACTACAAAGGATGCGATATTAAATTTAAGTATTCTATATAAGTTACATCCACTAAACATCTAGTAAATCACAGCATGTAAATATAGTGATTATTAGAGCAGGTATAATAGCAGACTACTCCACTAGCCAGTTACAAATATATCTATCTATTATATTATTAAAACAGTTTTGAAAGGAGACACCACTTTCGCTGTGGGGGCTAGAAATTCCCACATTAATTAGAGAAAAAGAGAAAAATCTACACCATTGAATTATGATAGATCAATAATTTAACCATTGAGATTGATCGGACAGATATAAGAGTCCGGGTCCGATTCAGACTCAAGTCCCAACCGGACAAGGCTGACAACTAACACGATTTCAGTTTTTTATCAGAGAAGCCCGCTAAACAAAAAATCAATCCTCTTGATTGGCAATCTTCCCGCTACATACAGCAATGGCACATATAATTAATAATACATCCAAATATTATATAAGAAGATCTAGAAATTACCAAATTAAATAAGTAGTAAAAAGAAAAAGAAAAAATCTGCACCAATTTGTTTTGAACGAACAATCTGCACCAATTCATGGTGGACATATGTTGTAACGGTTGACAATAATTGCCCAGAAATAAGTACCGGGCAAATCCTACTCACAAGCTGTAAAAATACTAAAAAATTATAAAAGTACCCGAGAACAAAAACAAGAATCTATCTATGCGACGCTCTTTTTTTAAATAGTATTTGGTCATTTTTAAAAAAATCCACATTAATTGTATTAAGTATGAATATAATTTATAAATAACTGAAATTTAAGATAAAAAATAAAATAAATACGAAATTATAAAAAGAAAAATAAAAGTTCAAATATGAATAAATTTATAATAGCTGAAATCTGAAATAAAAATTATCACATTAATTGGAGGAAAAAATAGAGTTAAAGTAGGAATACAATTTTTTAAAATAACTAAAATTCAAAATAAAAATAAGCAAATATTTAACTAACAGTCTATCTAGGGCATAACATGAGATTAATTAAATTCGAAATGAAAAATAAAATAAAATTCAAATTAGAAAAACAATAAAAATTCAAGTATCTAAAGAAAGCCCATGTTCCCTCGATGAAGTTCAATTGCTTTGACGAGTGAGTCTGATATAAAGAATTGACAAGCGGATTATACGTATGTAAACAGCCTTCCCGCCTGGCTTGAATGAGGAGTGGAAGGACCCGACCTCTAGCACTTTACTTTTACTGCCTGCGCGGCTAAGGAAAGACAACTACACTTCCAAGTCCTAAGAGAATACTAGTATACGATTGTTATATAAATAGGTAAATGTTCCTTTCCATTATGAATCGCGATTGTATGGCCAACCAAATACCATTAAAAATAACTAGAATTAGAAAGAAAACTACCATATAGAATAAAATAAAAAAAATGAATTCTATCGTATTACTATTAAGCAGGGTTTTAAATCTCCCGCTATAGCTATTTGAGATATTTGCTCTTATATACAATTTAGCCGCTATAGCTCTATTTAGCCCGCTATAGCTGTCGCTATAGTTATTTGAGAAGCTAATCGCTAAATGTCTTAGCCTGCTATTTAAAACATTGCTATTAAGAGGACAAGACGAGGGTGGCAAAGGAACTGGGCAATGACGGCTAGCGAGACTTCTACAAACTATAAAAAGAAAACCAAAGAATGATTAGGTTATATTTTTAAAATCCAAATAATCAAGGGTTCTAATAGGAATAGAATTTATAAATAATTAAAATTCGAAATAGAAAATAAAGCATATTGAAAGAATAGTCCAGATAGGGTAGAACACAAGATTAATTAAATAAATCTAATGATAATCACGTTTGATTTTAAATCTCAATGACACTAAATAGGGGGGGCAGCGAGCGAGCCGTAGAATACAGTGCCAAAGTCGATGATTGTTTGGCGGGACTTCTAGAAAGAAAAAAAATAAACCCAAATGATGATTATTGATTTTTAAAAACAAATAACTATAAATAGAGGAGACATTGGACGGGCTATAGAGGAGTATAATGGAAGCGTTTGACGGGACTTCTGAAAATTATAAAAATGAAACTCATTGAGACAACAAACTATAAAAACTACGATGTCCAATTTTTAAAGGTTCGAGACTTCTAAAAAGTAAGGAAGAATAATGATAATCATGTTTGATTTTATATCTCAATAACAATAAAGAGGGGAGGCAGCAGGTGAGCCGTACGGGACTTCTGAAAAATAAAAAAAAAGAACCCAAACGATGATTATATTCGATTTATAAAATCCCAACGACAATAAAGAGAGGAGGTAGCGAACGAACCGTAGACGAGTATAGTGGCAGCGTTTGATGAGACTTCCAAAAATTATAAAAGCAAAACCCAACGAGACAATAAACTCAAAAAACTATAAGGCCCAATTTTAAAGGTTCCAAGGAGAATGAATAAAAACAGTGGTAAATTAAGCAAGCAAATAAAAAAGGGGTAACATCAGTAAGGAGTAGCAACTGGTGTGACTTTTATAATCTATAAAAGTAGAAACAATGGGTTGATAAGGTTTGACCTTTTAAAGTCTTAAGACAACTAGATAGTTATTTAATAAATATAAAGTAAAATCATATTAAAAAATAAATATTTTGTATGGGTGCTAGCCGCGCAATTGCGCAGGCCACCCTGCTAGTTTTAATGAGATAAAAGATGAGAGAGAAGAGCAGCGGACTACAGATCTATAGCTAGCTGCAGCACGGACTTCAAGACGCAATGTGTGTATGATAAGTTGGACCATATACTAATAGTATAGTAAGCAATTATTGTATAAATTGGCTATTAGATTGGTTATAGATGTATTGAAGCTAGCAGTGTGCTATACTATTAAACTTGCTCTTAAAGCCGTCTGCTGCACAACCAGCGCGGCACCGATTTTTTTAAATATGAGCAAAACAAAAAAATATATTTTTTTATGTAAACACTGAGGTATTGGATTTTTATTCATAAGCAGGACAACGTAATTCTGCATCATCCCATTAAAACAATCGGACGCCACCGATCTAGAGCGTCCGGCCTTCTCACGGACGCGATATTCTCATTGCGTCCATAGCCCACGGGCCAAAGGGCTCTAAAAACAGTATCCCTGTTCTTCTGCATCCTATCACCGTAAAATCCCCAATCTGAAAACCCACGAGTAAACCAGCGGCCACAAACCTTAGCGGCGTGGCGGCGGTGGCGGCGGCGGTACCCATCCCGTTATTTTTCTTGATCGAGTCTTAAGGTATCGAGCTTGCCGTCGTCGTCAGTTCTAAGTACGCACCCACGCGACTGGCTCTCAGCCATCAGGTTAGTCGTCTTACACGGCCATGTATTAGTTAATTGCATGATGAGCTCTTTTGGTTTTTTCATTGGAGACTAAATCGTTGTGCGGCATTCTCTTTCTTTAGTGATACATTATAGTGCTGCTGCATTAAGCATTAGTTGTTAATTTTTGTGCTTATCTTTATAAGACAATGACAGATTAGTTATTAGCAAATAGCAACAGGCATCCTACCTTCCTAACAAGCTTTGTAAGCTAGTTTCCGTCAACATAACAATGCGACTATAAGGAAACAAAAGGGTGCAAATAATCTAGAAATTAGTTTTACTTTTGATCAATCATCTTACGATGCTTGTTTATAAGTTCCTGAAAAAGAAATCAGTTGTACGTTGTTTGACATGCTTCCTTAATTTTTTGTATGCTACAAACTAGTAAGATGAGGACTAATCAAGATGGGTTAGGTCGGTCAATTACAATAAGTGATGAGGAGATAGGCTTACTGGATGGAGATCAAACTTTAGTTCAGCAAACTGAACTAAATGTTTCAGAACGTTTCAGTGCCTTACTATGGATGCCTCATTGCCAGCACAAAATCTCAAAAGTTTGGAAAAATGTAAGCTATTGCTAGCTTCTGTCATATACCTTTCCAAAAAAAATGATTGGACTAATTTGTATCCTACGTATGCAGGCTAATGATGGTGTTAGTGTCAGGTATCACCACGTGGGCATTCCATACCATTATTTATGTGAACCACTGTCACGCCCAGAAATTTAACCCAAATTTCCAGACTATTTTGCGTATTAAATCCCTGTCCAGGACCAGCCAGGGTACACAAAACGACAAGTAATATACAGTTCCAAACGTAAATAAAGCGTAAAATACTTACGGAAGAGGCACTTAGTCCTCACACCGAAATAGAACGACAGCAGCGGAAAAAGGCGATCCTAGCGGGGCTTCAGCTCCACTCCACAG